CCACGATGAAAAGCCCACACACCTCAATGAAGAGTAGCCCCCGCTCGCCGCAACTAGAGAAAGCCCTCACACAGCAACGCAGACCCAACCAGCCAAAAGTGGCAGCCAAAAATTAATTAATTAATTAGTTTTTAAAAAGAACAAGAAAAGAATCAAATGGAAATTCTAGAGCTGAAAAGTACAATAACTGAAATTAAAAATTCACCAGAAGGGCTCAGCATAAAAAGTGATCAGTAAACTTGAAGATAGACGAGTACAGATTATCCAATATAAAGAACTGAATGGGGAAAATGACTGAATAGAAATGAACAGTGCCTCAGAGACCTATGGAACAACATCAAGTATATCAGTATGCATGTAATGGGAGTCCCAGAAGAAGAGAGAGAGAAAGAGGAAGAAAAAGTATTTGAAAAAATAATGGCCCCAAACTTTCCAAATTTGATGAAAAACATTAATCTACAGATCAAAGAAACTCAATGAATCCAAAGCAGGTTAAACATAAAGAGATCCACACCCAGACACATTACAGTCAAAATGTTGAAAGACAAAAAGAAAATCTTAACAGCAACAAGAGAAAAACAATTCATCGCATACAAAAAAAAATATGATTAAAAACTGGCTTTTCATCAGAAACAATGAACACCAAAGGCAGTGGAATGGTATAGTGAAAGTGCTAAAAGAAAAAAACTGTCAACCAGGAATTCTATATTCAGCAAAACTATCCTTCATAAAATGAAGTAAAAATAAAGACATTTCCAAATAAATACAGACTGAAGAAATTATTGCCAGCAGAACTATCTTACACGAAATACTAATGGAAGTTCTTCAGGTTAAAAGGAAGTGACAACCAGTAGTAACTCAAATCCACAGGAAGAAATGAGGAGCACCAGAAATGGTAAATATGTGAGTAAATATAAATAGGTCTATAAATATATTTTTCACATTCTTTTCTCTCAACTTCTTTAAAAGACGTAAGCAAAGCAATTATTATAATACTATTATTGGTTTATAATAATTTTTAGGTTTATAACACAGGTATAGGTAATACATATGACAATAATAGCACAGAAAAGGGAGAGAGAAAGGAGATATATTAGAGCAATGCTTCTGTATTTTACCAGAATCAATTAGATTTTAATAAGTTAAGATACACATTGTAATTTCTAGTGCAACCACTAATAACTTGAATAATATAGTAAAAAGGAATTAACGAAAAGAAATTAAAATGGTACAGAAAGTATTTAATAAAAAAGAAGGCAGTAAAGGAAGAACAGAGGAACAAAAATGATATGAGACAATCCAACCATATCAATAACCACATTAAATGTGAGCAGACAAAACACTGCCATTCAAAAGGCAGAGATTTTCAGACTGGATAAAAAAGCAAGTAGATAGAAAGTAAAAAGAAGGAAAAAGATGTACCAGCAAACAGTAACCATGAGAGAATTTTCCAGATTTGATGAAAGACATGAATCCTCAGATTCAGGGAACACACCACACACACACACACACACACACACACACACACATATCATAGTGAAACTGTAGGACACCAAAATCAAGGGCAAGATTTTGACAACAATCTGAGAGAAATGAAAATAACCAAGAAAGACTATTAGATTGATAGTAGACTTCCCCACAGCAACAACAGAACGGATGACAGAGGAATATCATCAAAACACTGAGAGAAAATAAATGTTGACCTAAAATTCTGTAATAAGCTAAATTATATAAAATAGTGAGAGTAAATGACATTTTTGGTTAAAGGCAGAATTTGCCACTAACAGACACTCACTGAAAAAAGTTACTAAAGAATTTACTTTAAAAGGAAGAAATGAAATGTAAGAAGGTATAGTGAGGGGGGAAAAGGTAAAAATGTGAAGGATTAGTAATACTACTAATCAAGTATTGGTAGTATAAAATTTAATAACAATAATAAAGGATAACTGAGAGAGGTAAAAAAAAAAAAGGTGGGACTAAAATACTGGGCAACTGGTACGTGTAAGAAGGGAAGAGGTGATCAAAAGTAAAGCGTCCTAAGGTCCTTACATTGTTCAGAAGAAGGGTAGAAGTAATTGTCAATCTAAGACAATCTGAGACTTTGCTAAGTCAAATATGCACATGAAAGTATAAGAATAACCACAAAAATAATGAAATTAGTACATATAACTGCCAAATCAGTGTGGGATTTGGTGAAGAGAAAAATGAAGAAAATCCAATTGATCCAAAAGAAGGCAGCAAAGGAGTAGAAAAGCATCACCCAAAAGGCAGGATAAATAGATGGGCACAAAATAAGATGACAGAAATGAATCCAAGCATATCAGAAATCACAATAAATATAAATGTACTAAACTCTCAAACAATTGTCAGAATGGATATCAAATAAAATATAGCTATAAACTACTTACAAAAGACACACCTAAAACATAAAGAGACAAAAAGCTTTAAAGTAAAATATAGGAAAAGATGTTCTAGGAAAATACTAGAAGGGCAAAAAGTGATAAAGATAATAGAGTGACGTCGCTAGTTCATTAAACCTGTAAATTTCCTCTTCTGTAAATCAGGGGTTATAAACCATGCCCCCCTGGAAAAATATGTAAAGTATACATGATGTTAGATAGTGTAAAGTGATGAAAAGAAGAAGTGGCGGGGGGGGGAGGAAGAGGAAAAGGAGAAGAACAGAGAAGGGAAACAGGAAATGTTGAGGGGGGTTAAAATTAAAATTTAGAACGTTTGGGTAAAGACCTGAAAGAAGCGAGGGAGCAATCCATGGGAGTATCTGGAAAGGAGAGATCCAGGCAGAGGTAGCAGCAAAGGACCTAAGGCTGAAGCACACGTGTGGTGTCGGAGGTGCAGCAAGGAGACCAGTGTGGCTGGAGTGGGTGTGGGATGGGAACAGTGTTAGAACAGGAACTCAGAGGTGGCAAAGGGCCAGATCATGCACTGTACTTATACATCATAGTACAGTGTTTGACTATTCCCCTGAGCAAGGTCTTGATTGAATGCAATTTTATTCTTAAATGATCACTCTGGCCATATTATGAGAGAATGAAGTGGAGCAAGGACAAGTGCAAGAAATCAACTAGAAAACAGTGCAACAGTCTAGACAAAAGAACATGGTGACTTGCACTGACGTGCTGGCAGTGGAGGTGGTGAGGAGTGACTGGATCCTGGAAATACTTTGAAGGTGGGACCAACAGGATTTGCTGAAGGGTTGGACATGGGATGTGTGAGAGAGAAAGGAGTCCAGACTGACTTCAGTGTTTTAGATCAGTGCTCCTGGAATAATAAAATTGCCATTATCTGAAATGGAGAAGACATTGGATGGAGTAGGAAATTTGAGGAGGGAGAAAAGGGTACCAGCAGTTTAGTTTTGAACATCTTAAGTTTGAGATGTCTACTCAACATCCATGTGAGATTTCAACACACAGATATATATGCATTTATGGGAGAATGTGGGCTGGTGATAGACATTTGGGAGTCATCAGGCTCTCAATAATATTCAAAGCCATGAGCCTGGATGAGCTCACCCAAAGAATGAGTGTAGGAAGAAGTCCAGGAACTAAGCCCTGGAAAACTCCAGTGTTCAGATCCTGAAAAGTTTGCAGGCACCAGTGACACAGACTAAGAATAGGCAACCAGAGAGAGAAGGCAGAAGAACCTAAAAGGTGTGGTGTCCTCAAAGCCAACTGAGAAAAGTGTTTCAGGAAGGAGAGAGTCATCAGCTGCGTTAGATGTTGCTGATGGATCAAGTAAAACAAGGTCTGAGCATTAACTAGTGGGTTTAGCAACATAGAATGGTCTTCTGTGAAAAGATGGCTGTGCCAATCAGATTCCCTGATTCAGGAAATGTAACAAAGAAATGCTGAGAGACTGCAGCAGCAAAACCATGGGAGCCAACCAGGACGGTCTTTGCATTGCTTTTTTTGCCCAGCAAACAGTAAAAATAGCTAACCTTTATTGAGTGCTGGCTGTGTGCCAAGAACACTATTATGATGCCTATTTTTAAATAGGGAGAGTGGGGCTCAAAAAAGTCAAGTATCTTGTCCCAGGTCACTCAGCTGGTAAGTAGCTGAGCTGGAATTCAAACCCACCTCATGCATTTAATTACTAAACTGCACTGCCTCCTTTAGTTAAGGGTAAAGTCTACACTTAGGTAGAACTCACACTTGTAAAATACCAGTGTGGGGCCAGGTACCTTGTGTTTGCATATATTTTCTCACTGAACTCACAAAACCCCTGTGAGATAATCATCATTACAATTGTCATTTCAAAGATGAGCCAACAGGGGCTTGGCTTCCCTGGTGGCGCAGTGGTTAAGAATCCGCCTACCAATGCAGGGAACACAGGGTCGAGCCCTGGTCCGGGAAGATCCCACATGCTGCGGAGCAACTAAGCCCATGTGCCACAACTACTGAGCCTGCATGCCACAACTACTGAAGCCCGCGCATCTAGAGCCCGTGCTCCACAACAAGAGAAGCCACCACGATGAGAAGCCCGTGCACCACAACGAAGACCCAGCACAGCCAAAAATAAATAAATTACATTAAAAAAAAAAAAAAAAGATGAGCCAACAGAGGCATTGAGAGGGAGGTATCTTGCCAGTGTTCCACAGGGTGGAGTGGAGGGGAAAGAACTCAAGCCCTGATCATCTCTGAGACTGCAGTTCTGCCTATCTCCAGTCTATATGCTCAATCTTGCCTTTTACATGGGGTGGGTTGGAAGCAATCAGGCCACGAAAGTGCTGGGGAACCTCAGAGAACTGACGCTGCCGTTACAAGTTCATCACTTTGAGGATGCTTCATGGTTTTTAAGGATGTGACTCTCTGAGATCCTCAGTCTGAGTCAGCTCCAGGAGTCCCAAGGCAGGCTTCCCAGCTCTCCAGAACCAGACCTGTTCTCTCTCCATGGGCAGATTCCTGATTTTAAGGCCTAGGCTGAGCATGGGACTGAATCCCCCTTCCCACCCTTTCCTTCCAGCATGCTGGGCCTCTCCCTACCTGTCCGGTGGTGAGGGAACGGCTATAGCCAGGGATGGAGCTCCGGGGGTGGATCCTGGGTGGGACACAGCAGCTGGGAAAGGTCAAAATTCCAGATTCAGAATGGGGGTCTGCTAGGAGGTGGGGGAGGGGACTGAGAGCACTGAGGCCCCTGAGCAGGTCTAACCCTCAGAAATCCCAGAGATCCCCAGGAGACTCCTGGGTAAAGGGATTCTGCCAAAGAGACATTCAGATAGGGGTTATCACAGGCACCCCCTCTTCATATGGGGCAGAGCAAGACTGCCCAATTGAACCCTAAGCAGGGAACCTGACTGGTACCCACTCTACGCACATCTCCTACAGGCACCCAGGATCAGCATCCTACGCCCCACCCCCACCCCAGCTCTCCCTGTCCTTACTTGATCCGGGCCTGGTCCACGCTGGAGGAGCGGCGGGTGGTGAAGCGCCGGGCGACCGCTTTGGGAGATGTCTTGGGGCTGCCATCTGAGTCTCCACTCTCCTCATCCCCCATGGCTTTGATGTAGCTGCCGCTCCGCATCCTGCGGCAGGGGATCTCCCCGTCCTTGCCCCCAGTGGGGTAACCCCCCCAGTCATCTTGCGGCACCTGCAGGGACAAGGGGCCTCTGTCTTTCAGACAAGTCCCTGCTGAATCTGGAAGTGGGGACCCACATTCTCCACTGCCAGTGGGAGACACTCAGCCCTGGCTCAAGCAGGCCACGTTCAGGAATGTGCAGAGGCAGAGCAGGTGAGGTCTCCGCTACAGGAGATGCCCCATCATCCTCCACGTGCTTTTTGCTCCTTAATTGAGGACCACCTAGAGAGTCTAGGAGCTGACATGCCAGGTGCCAAGAGGCTGAAGCTCAGAGGCCAAAGTGACCTATGTCAACCTCACCCCTATAAAGAGTCACCTGACCTCAGTGACCTTTCACCCCTCCTTCTCCTTCATCCTCTTAACTGCTTATAGCCCAAATCCTCTGACTTTCTGCCTCCCTTCTGTGAAGAACCACAGAGGGAGTGACATCAATTTGTGCTTCAGAAAGAGCACTTCAACCGTCCAAACAGAGGATGGATCGTGGAGGGCCAGGAGCAGGGCAGGGGCTCAAGTGGCGAGAGGGAGACCAATTAAGAGGCTGATGCTGTTATCCAGGCAAGAGATGATGAGGCTTAAATTAAGACAATGACAATGAGGGGGAAGAGGAGATGGAAATGAGAGGTGTTAAGGAGCATCAGTGAGCCTGATTAGACGTGGGGGGTGAGGGGGTGGGGAGGAGTCGATGACGACTGAGATCCTGCTGGCTGAGGACCTGGGGGGATGGGGCTGCTGCTCACTGAGCCACAGAATCCCAGAGAAACAGGTTTGGGGAAAAGGTGATAGGTTCAGCGTTGAGCATCTTGAGTTGGCAGAGAACTGTGGAGCAGGTGGTTGGGCGTTTGGTTCTGGAGTTCAGCAGAGAGATCTGGGCTGGAGGCAGACATAGGGGAGCCATGGGTGGCAGCTGAGTCCACAGGAGTGAATGAAACAGCCCAGGGGAAAGAAGAAAGAGAGGTGGGAAGGGATCCACTGACATTTAAAAGGGGACTGCGAAGAAAGGGAGAGGAGCCTATGAAGTCACCTGAGAAAGAGTGGGCAGAAGGGTGGGAGGGAAGTCAGGAGAATGCCATGTCATGGAAACAGGAGACATTTCCAGAATAGAAGGAGTTGATAATGTCAAATGCCACAGTGCGTGCAGAGGTTAGTGATTCAGGCTACGGAGTTAGAACCATGTTCGAATTCTGGCCCCGTCACTTGCTAGCTGGGTAAACTTAAGCAAAACTGATTAATCTCTAAGCCTCAGTTTCCTCGTCTGTGAACTGGTGATGATAATTATGCCCACTTCACAGCATTGGTGGGAAAGATAAGTGAGCCAATATAGAGTGCCCAGCATAGAGTAAGTGCCCAATGTTGACCATTGTTATAAGCATTGAAAGGTACCTTTCAAGGAGAGTTCTCAAGAGACCATTGGTGACCACTCCCAGGACATTTTAGAGGACAGAGGTGTGGAAGTCAGACTGCAGTAAAGGGGAGAGTGAAAGGAAGTGAAGTAGTGGAGTCTACACTCTAAGAACTTGGAAATGAAGGGAAGACAGGAGGGAGATGGAAAGGGGTATGGGGTTGAAGAAAAATATTTTTTTTTTAGGATGAGAGAGATTTGGGCATGTTTGCAGGATGAGGGAAAGAGTCAGTAAAGAGACAGTCTTTAAATGTGGGGAGGAAGGGGGGACAGCTCATGGACAGAGGGGATCCCAGAGAGATGGGCTCAAGCCCTGTGGAGGCGTCATGCTGGGATGGGTGGTCCTGGCTTCTCCTCTGAGCCAAGAAGGAAGGGTATGAGGGTGGCTGGGGATTTTGATGAGTCCCCAGGTGCACTGACAGGAAGGTGAGGGAGTCTGGGATGGTTGGCCTACACTGTGAAGAATGAGGTGTAATGAAGGCATGCGGGAGGGGCCCAGGGCAGGTAGCGAAGATTTAAAACACCTGTTGAAAAGAACAGGTTAAATGGGGTGGGGGTCAGGCTTCAGGGAGAGCATAGGGCTTGGGAGAGGAATAGAGATTCTGGGGTGGGACTAAATGAGGGGTCAGAGATCAGTGTAAGAACAGGGATGGGATGGGGCCCCATGAAGGAGCCCTCAGGGGGTGAGGCGGACAGGGCTCGGTGTGGGGCTGGGCTCAATCAGAAGATGGCAACGCAGGGAAGAGACGAGGCTCCATAAAGGAACAAAGGCTCTGAGTGAAAAGAGGGATTCTGGAAGAAGTCTGAGAGAGAGCTGGCATCCAGTAGGGGAACAAGGTCTCAACAAAAGGACTGGGGATCCAACAAAGACACCTGGTCTGATGTGGCCAGCTTCCCCTGCTTTTGTGCCAGGGGGGGCACCAGTCTGTCTAGAGAGTCCCTGCAGCCCCTTGTTCTCCCCCAAACAGGCTCAGACTTTCCAGTCCTCAGATTCCCTGGAACCCCAGCCCCTGATCGATCCTTGCCCTTCCCCATACTCTACAGAGAGGAGCCACAGAGGCAGAGGGAGGCAGATGGGACAGCCAGGCACGCTCTGCACACTGCAGGGCTCCCACTCCATAGCCACTGCGGAGCTGCTGGCTCCTCTGCAGGACACTGTGAGTTGCATGTTAAAAAGGAAGCCCCCAGGGAGGTGAGGGAAGCCCTGGAGAAGCAGCAGGGAGCAGCGGAGTGGTGGCAAGGTTCCAGGGATGGGAGAAGAAGGGTTGGTGTTCTCTCCTCGACCCTTTCTGCTGGACCCTTCAATCCCCAGCTTAGAGAACCTCTCTCCCAGGGAGGGGGCAATCCAAGGCCAACCCAGAAGTCCTGAATCCTAGAAGTCTCCAACCTCCCCTTCTGTCTCCCACCCCTTCCTGCTTCCACTGTGGCCCTATCTGTTCCCTTGAGCTTTTGTGGGTTCCCTACCCAGGAGAGCCCTAACATGTGAACAACTTACCAAAAAGGCCAGTGACACCCAAAGACACATGCAAGCTCAACTCTCCACACCTTTGAACGTGCTGTCGTCTCTTCCTGGAACACCCTTAATCCTGGAACTTCTGCACTCAACTAACTCCAAATTCTCCACTGAGATTCTGCTCAGGGGACATTCTTCCTAGAAGTTGTTCTGGCCACCATCACCCAGGTGGGTGAGGTGCCTCCTCTGGGCTCCCAAGGCTCCCACGGCTCTCTCCTCTCACAGCCTCATCACAGTGTATTCTACCTGATGCCTTGTCTATCCCACCTTTAAATGGTGAGCTCCTCCCAAGCAGCATCTGTGTCTTCATCTTTGTATCCACAGCACCCAGGAAATGCTCACTGAATGAATGGACGCAGACGAACTATGCGGAACGTGGGTTTGGGGGATAACCCTAAGTCTACTCGACTTCTAGGACTTGTCTAGACTTTTCCTCCTAAAACTATAGCAGGGCTCAAGAAAGCCTGTCAGGGGATATGAGAGGGGAGCGTAAGGCAGAGAAGAGGGAGGTTGATGGCAAGAAGAGCCCCCGACCCCAACTCAATAGGAAGACGGAGAGGGGACAGTGAGAGATGGATGAAGGCTCCATAAGAAGAAGGGTTCAGAGCTCTTAGCCTCAACTGCAGACACTATAGAGTTGGTAGAAGAGGACAGGGACAGTGTGCCCTGGCCTGCTGCTGTGTCTGGAGCTCAGACTTGTGTGAAGCCCAGCCTGGGGAAACCCATGAGACAGGCTCCCAGGCTCTTCCACAGCCTCACGGGTGTCCTGCTGCAGGTTCCCCAGAACGACAAACACCAGCAGAGGCACATTCTGGAAATAACTGACCTTCACATTCAAACAATATCTGGACCACCCAGGTTTGGGCAGAAAAGAGGTCTGGAGAAGGCCTAAGGGGCAAGAGGACTGCTTTCCAACGGCTGACCTCCAATCCTGGGGAAGCTACAGGCAGGGAGCACCGCACTGTCCTGTTCACTGCCTACTCTCAACCTCATTCTGCCTCCAGCCTCACGAGGCAGAGGCCAGCACAGCTTGTCCAAAACCTCAGGTAAAGGAAAAGTCTTCCCAGCACTGACATACAATATCAAAATAGAAGGGCCCCTTCACTGCATAAACAGGGAAACTGAGGTCCCCAAAGGGGCTCAAGGCAATACAGTGAGGCAAGGGAGAGCCTCCCTGACTCCAGACCCTCCATCCTGGGAATAGCTGGCTCCCACCCAACCCTTTCCACAGCTCCCTGGGTGACAACATTGATGAGGGCTGAGGACCCTGTTCCCCACCCCCACCAAAGCCTCACCTGCAGATAGTGATAAGTCCTGGCTTTGGCCTTGGCCTCCGGACCCAGGAGCCCCTTGCCTGGCCCGGCCCCTGGGTATCCATCCCGGCCCTGGCTGACCATCATGGTATGCCAGGCACTCCGCTTGACCGATTGTCCGTCCAGTGACATGGACATGCCAGTGCAGGCGAGACAGCGGCCTTCCGACCCGCCCGAGCGCCCCTTGAAGCTCAAGTCCCGGTAGGACCCATCTGGAGCCTCCAGGCAGAAGGGACCACCAGGCTCCCCAGGGGGCCGCCCACCGGCCAGGAAGCCGCTGTCACTGTCCAAGTTGTCGTCGGAGCTCCACCAGCCCGCGGCCTTGGCCTGCTGCCGTCCATCCCCCTTGCGGTCCTTGCTCTTGCTCCTCTTGCCATGCCGGGACTGGTGGTGGTGGTGGTGGTGGTGATGGTGGTGGTGGGAGGTGTGGAGGCCTCCAGAGCCCGGGCCAGGGTAGCTGTCTCCGCCGGAGCCACCTCTGCCCTCAGCCTTGGGCCCATTATAGTCCCGCTTCCCTGGCGCCTCCAGAGAGTGGGACTTGGCAAACAGCTTCTGCACAGAGTGAACCAGGTGCCGGATGCGGCTGGGGCTCTCGCTGCGGGCCTCCGGGGTAGTGCCAGACCCTGGCCCGGGCCCGGCCCCTGCTGGCCCTCGCTGGTATGGCAGCGTGTGGAAGCCATCTTGTTGAACAGGCAACTGCTTTTCAAACTGGTCCAGAAGTGTGGGAGGCAGGCGGGGGGCACCCTTGCCCTGTGGGTGGCCCACACAGTCTTCACAGGTGTCGAAGGGGCCCTGGCCAGGGTACATCCTGGGGAAGGTGCTGCTACCCCCCCCAACCCCGGCCCCTCCCGGCCCTCCCTCGGGGCCTGTCGCTGGTCCCTCACTCAGGCTCAGGGGCCCTTCAGGAGAAAGGTGTCCCAGACCAGCTCTTGGGGCACAGAAGCGGGGCTCGGTGGAGAAGGCCTCCCCGGAGCCCAGCAGGTATGGAGCCCTGGCAGCGGGGCCCACGTCCATATGCTGCTGGTCGGCAAAGCGGGCTGGGCGGGGATGGCTGCCTCGGTCGCCATGATAACCCCTCATGGCCTCAGCAAGGGCTCTTCATAGTGCTGGGGGCCAGGCCCCAGGAACCTCCTGGAGAAACAGGGAGCAGTGGGATTAGGACTGAACGACAGGCCACGTCACCTGAAACTATCTTTTATTAGGTATTCTTATATCCCTTTAGGTAGTGCATACCAATTTAGTGCGATGGATTCCACTATCTTTCCACAAATGGGCTTAAAAGCCTTAAAACAGTCATACTAGACAAAGATGCTCACAAGGGCACAAAATAACGTCATCATCCATCAAATGCTGCAAATATGATAAATACTTATTCAGAAGAGGAAATGCCCTCAACCAAATGGGTTTTTTAAAATCCTTAGGTAACCCAAAATAAAAAGATACCAATACAGACATAAAAACAATAGTCAAACATACTAGCCATTAGGTGAACTAGCTTTTAACAAGCTGACATGAGGCAAATCGATCCAGCACCACACCTGTGTCTCATCCCTACCCAATTCCACGGCTAGGAAGCCTCAGGCCTCTGGGTCACAGCTCCCAGAAGCAATAACCAAAGAGAACACTGGACCCAAATCTACGTATCTATCACGATTCTGCAGGAAAACCCCTCTGCTTCCTTCCACACCCAGCTCCTTCTATCTGGCTGTAAGCTTATTCTCCTTCCCCCCCCTACCCAGGACTGAGATAGGAAGGGATAACCTGAGATGACTCCACCTTCCTCTTCCGGGTTCCAAATATCCCCTGATGAAATTTCCCCTTTTGCCTTTTACCACCCACCCCCATTCCAATGGAGGGGAGTCATGAAGGGAGGAGAAACATAAAGAGGAGGAATGCTGGCTCTTCGAGCAGCATCTGAATCCTAAACTGGGGTTAGAACCCAGGAGTTCCTCCTCCCAGGAACAGTGGGCTGGCAGGGCAGGGGGGTGATGGAGAGAAAGCATTGGAACCAGTGCTCCTGGCCCCCATCCCAGGCTTGCCAAGACTACAGGACAGAGAGGTCAGCTCTCAGCAAGTACTGCCTCCAATCAGGACTCCAGAGCTGCCAGGACAGGAGCTACGGCAGGAGGGGGTGCCAGCAGGAGGGACAGGGACTGAGAAGCTGGCAGACGGCGCCCTCTCTCATCCCAGACCAGGCTCCTGGGCCATCTGCTGACTATGAGGTGATGACAGCCTCAAAGACTCCAGACAGCAGCACCTCCAAGGCTCTTCCTCCTTTCCTCCCCTCCACTGCCTCCCCATACCCACCATGGGGATGGCTTCTTCCAAATCCTGCTCACAGCTCATCTCTGAGCACTTGCTACGTACCAGGTACTGTGCATACCTAATATTCTCTAATCCCACTGAAATCCTATGTGTAGACATTATCCACACTTACCCATGAGAAAATTGAGCTCAAAATGGTAAGGTCACAAAGCCGGTAAATGGGTGAGTCACTTTGAATCAAGATTCAAACCCAGGTTATTCTGATTTAAGAAGCCCATCTCCAAAAAAAAAAAAGAACCCCATCTCTCAGAGTCTCCTACTACTCACCATCCGGGTTGTCCCATCCTTGGTGTCAGGATTCCCACCGCCAGGCAGAATCCTAACTTCAAAAGGCTCAGGACCACTGGCTCCTGACCAAAAAGAAAAGGGTGGTAAGCAAAGAGGAAAAGAGATTCTCCTGGAGTCCTCCGAGGACCAGTCTCAGGCCTTGACAGTTTCCGTGCCCAACCCCCCAAACCAGGACTGATTGGATCCCCCATGATGCAGAGCCTTTGGGCCCCCAGAGAAATGAAGTTGGCTTCATTATGCAAATGTATGCAAATGAGCTTACAGTTTGGACTACCTCCAACTGCAGGTGTCTGTGTGATCTGTCCATGGTGCTGAGCCACTGCATTTTTTTTCATTGCCCTCAAATATGATTCCATTCCACAAATATTTGTTGAGCAGCTACCATAATAATACTCGGAATGAGAAGTGTATAGAGGTGATTTAAGTGTGGCCCCTGTCATCGAGAGGCTTGTAGTCTAACAGGGGAACAATCTCTCACGTGATAGGGTTATTTTAGGTCCCTGTATTTTTGCACAAGCTGCTCCTTCCTCCTAGAATCTCCTTTCATCCACCTTCCAACCAACTCCCCTGGCTAACTAACACTTATTCATATTAAGGCCACCTTCCCTCGAAGACTTTTTGTGCTCTTATTCTGGGTTATGCCTCTCTATTGGGTTTTTATCACACCCTGGGTTCCTCCCATGAAAGCAGCTATCACACTGCACTGAAATTGTCTGTTTCAGTTTCTGTCTTCCCAACTAGAATCTGGTCTTCTGCAGGGTAGGAACCAACCTCTATTTATCACTGGATCTCCAGCACCTAACTCGGGGCTTTGCCCAGAGCTGGTACTTAATAAATGTTCGCTAAGTAGATGAATAAATGACTGTGCTGGAAAGAGGTACCAAAATGTCAGGCCAGTTAAGATGAGGGCAAGAGCAGATCCAATAGAGGGAAATTGAGGAAGACTTCCCAGAGAAAAGTGTGTTTAAGATGGAGAACAAGATGGCTGTGTGTAAGGGAGAGAGAATTCCCAGTGGAGGGAACAGCAAGCATAAAGGCAGAAGAGTTGGGCAAATAAGGAATTCTGAGGCGTGGGTTGAGAGAGTTCCAGCAGACACGGGTTTGGAAAACACTGGGAAGAGATGGGAGAGAGTCAGAAAGGAAGACAACTCTGAAGTTTGCAGCAGCCGTGACTGGAAGACTAATGATGCCATTATTAGGCACAGGGATGTCAGGAGGAGCTAGCTCTGCGGACATGATTAATAGTAGTGGAAGAGACACAGTCAGACAACAAGAAGAACTTCCTGACCCTGAGGGATGTGAGACAATGAGGAAGATTGTGAAGTCTCCTGGGAATCTTCCACAGAGGGGAAGGTAGGACATGCCCAGCCCCTGGCCCACCCTATGGCCTGGGCTGGAGATGTTCGTTATCTTGCCTGGAGGGGAACTGGGTGGGGGGCACCTCACAGATATTAACTGCCTGGCTCTAGATGACAATTCTCCTCCTCTGCCCCCCTCTGGGGAAGCAGAGGGGACTTCAGACCAAAATGGCCTCTCAAGCAGCTATTGGAAAAGCACCTAGAAGCATCTCCCCACCTTGGAAAGAAGCTTTGATAGCTTGGTCTTTCATCCATGGCATGGTCCTCCTCTTCCTGCCCCAGGCAGGGCCCATGTCTGAGACTCACAGCACAAAAGGCCACTTTGACAGAAACCCAGACCATCCCATTTGCTTTCTTTGTGGCCACATCAAACCTGGGAATGTCCACACCAATGGTGGGCATTCCCAGGTTTCCCCCCTTCCTCCACCACCACACAGGTGCTGCTGCCAGCCCTAAACCTTCATCAAGATCTTATCAGTCTCTTTAGCATCAATCCATGTCCTCCCAGCTCTAGTCTCAAAGGAGATGGATCCCTGTGTTTGCTTCTCTCCAGACAAGCCACCCCCAACTCCCTTACCCATGTCCTACAGGGCAGTACTCGCTAGTGGAAAAAGCTCAAGCCCTGAGACCAGAAAGTGTGTGACACTAGACAAGTGACCTACCCTCTCTAAGCCTAATGATACCTGCTCACCTATCTCCAAGGATTTTAGTATCAAGCGATACAAAACCACTCTGTAAACTCTAAAAGGTTACACAATATAATCCCACATGTGAAGCCTTCATTTTGGACTTCCCAAATCCCCAATGTCCAAATATTAAACAATACAATCAAATCCAAATTACTGGGAGAAGAAGATATCCAATTGATGGATTTCCTAAAGAGAAGATTTAATTGATATAGATTCCATTATATAAACTTCCTCCTATATATCACACTTATGATCACATACCTTCTGCTGCCACCCCCTTACTAAACATAATCCACAGGCAGGAAAAACAAGCGAGGAGGGGACTAATAATTCAATCCATCGCCAAGTCCTATGGATTCCGCTTCCTAAAAATAGATCTGCCCACTTATTTCCATATGCACCAAATCACTGTCGGCTGACTAGCCAAAACTCATTCTCAACCTCCTTTCCCCTTTCCCAGCCTCCCTTGTACCTAGAAGCCACATGATTCACTTGTAGCTAACGATATATACATAAAAATTTGATGAGGGATTCTGGGAAAGATTTTTGCCTTTATAATAAAAGGGTTGGGGCTTGCAAGTACCATCCTTCTTCCCTTTCTTTTCAACTTGAATACAATCATGATGCCTGGAGCTAGGGCAGCTGTCTTGCCACAGAAATGCTGGCCCTGGAGTCACTGAGCCATGGCTCCGACATAAAGCAGTTGCCTTCCTCCAGGCCTAAATGCAGGAAGGAGTAAACTCTTTATTTAAACCACTGTTGGCCAGATTTTCTGTATTTGCAGCAGAAAACACTACTAACTAATCCAACTACCTCAGAACATCATCTCCTGCCTGGACGTCTGCAAAAGCCTCCTAAATGGTCTCCCTGCTTCCGTTCTTACCCGGCTCCAATCCAAATGGTCATTTGGAAACACAAATCTGATCATGTCACTTCTGTGGTTAAAACTCTTCACTGGCTTATTGATGTTCTTAGGATAAAATGCCTTAACCCATCCAACAAGGCCTGCAGGCTCTGGCCCTTCCTGGGCTTCCAAACTCTGCTCACAACACTCTCCCCCTTGCTTCCTCTGCTCCAGCCAGGCCAGTCTTTCTGCAGTCCCATGATCTCTCCCATCACGGGGCCTATTCCCTACCCCGCACCCGTCCAGAAAGCTTTTCCCGTCCACCTCTGCCTTGCTAACTCCTACACACCCTTCAGATCTCAGCCCGGTTGTTGCTTCCTCAGGGAAGCTTTCTCTGGCCTCCCTGACTAGGTCAGATCCCCCTGCTGTGTGCTCTCAAGGCACTGTGTACCTCTATAGCTCTTCTATCATTACCATTGTCAATTTGTGTGATTCAGAAATTGTCTGTCTCTCTTACATGGAGCATGTGAGCTCCATGTAAGTGCAGGAATTTCGTCCATCTTATTCACTGCATTACCCTCCCCCCCACTCCTAGAACAATGTTTGGTAGATGGCAGGT